TTGGAGCCCTCCTTCCTGAGCTAAGATAATCCACACTCTTAAGCACTACACCAAACAACTGATTATCCAGGAAAGTTGTGGGTGACTTTGCACACAAAAAAACAAACAACCCAAAGCACAGTGGGGGGAAAAATAATAAAAGTTTGCATTGTTTGGCTTCAAAAAGGGAGCACCGCAGAGTGTGAGACTCAACATCCATCTCTCCCCCTGCCCCATCCCTGGCCTCCTGGAGCTCTTGGGTGTCTTCTGTCCCCTGCCTTCCGTATACATCTCTCGAACTCGGACCCATCGCAGGCACTTCCCCCATTGTGAAAATATTTGCCCAAGGAGTCTCCTGGCCCGTCCTGGCTGCTTTTCAAGAGCTGCGTCCAGGTGCCAAGCTCTGGAAATGTCACCTCCTTGCAGGGAAGCAAAGACTTCCTTCCAGGATGGGATTCTGACAGAGCGGTATTGTGTCGGGAGATCCGGGTTCAAATGCCGGCCCATGGGGCAACTTGGGGGCAGTCGCTCTCTCTCTCGGCCCGTCCGACCTCGCAGGGCTGTTGTGCAGATAAAGCACAGACGGGGAGACCACGAGCGCCGGTCGGAGCTCCTTGGAGATTAGAAATGCATAATGAAATAAATAACACTTGCAAAGACCGAGGCTGCCGTTCCCGTGCACTGAATGTGCAGGGGATAGCCCCACCTGGAGCGGCTTTGGTCTCTTTAGAAACCACCTGTTTCAGGTGGCAGCCAGTTACCTGGGTGAACACTGTTGCCTGAAACAAAACCACAATGACACTATTGTTGTAGTGGGGCTTTGGCCACACACCTCCCGCTCACCTGAGCTTAACTCCTTCTGTTCAACCCGCCACAAAGGAAAGAATTTCAGTGCTGCGAGCTTCTACACCACATGCTACGAACAAGTCTTCTTGTATGTCCAGGCTAGTGAGTGACCAGGAATTAGGGAGGGACAGTGGCTTGTTGGAGGAGCCTCTGCTTTGCATGTAGAAGGTCCAGGCATCTGTAGTTCAAAAGATCAGGCCAGAGGAAGAAGAAGAGATTGGATTTATACCCCGCCCTTCACTTGGAGTCTCAGAGCGGCTTACAAACTCCTTTCCCTTCCCTTCCCCTCCCCACAACAGGCACCCTGTGAGGTGGGTGGGGCTGAGAGAGCTCTGACACAAACGACTCTTTTTCAAGGACAGCTGTGCCAGAGCTTGTGACTGACCCAAGGTCACATCAGCAGGTGCAAAGTGGAGGAGGGGGGAATCAAACCCGGTTCTCCCAGATTAGAGTCCGCGCACTTCACCACGACACCAAACTGGCTCTTGTGTTGTGGAAAACCTCAATCAGGAGAGCTGCTTCCACTCAGAGCAGACAATATTGTCCTTGGTAGACTAGTGGTCTGACTCAGTGAAAGGCAGCTTTGTTTATGAGACGCAGCCCAACAATATAGGGGAACTGTATAAATGAACAAGGCTGCATATGCTGAATTACTTAACACTGACCAGCCATTGTTTAAGAAGATAAGAAGCATCTCGCTGGGTTAAACTTGCTTCCAGCAGCCACTGGGAGCTAACAAGCTGGGTGTGATAGCCTTTCTCCTACGGTTTATCTACAAGATCTGGTACTCGTCGTGCTCCTGGATATGGAGGTTCCATTTTGCGTCCATTGCTTTCGGGCTTTGAAAGAGCTCTCGGCGAACGTGTCTTAATTCTGCATAATTCCGCCCACAGTGACCTGGGAGCTTCCAAGTTCAAATCAGACCCCTGCCACATACTCAAGAGATGGGCTTGGACAAGCTGTTCTCCGCTGGCTTCAGCCCTGCATCTGTGGCATGGGTGGACGCGATAATACTGTTCCTTCGCTTCGTTTATACTTCGCCTTTCTCCCCAGCGTGGGCCCAAACCGACTGGCACCGTTCTCTTCTCCGCTCGATCCTCACAAGAACCCTGTGAGGTAGGTTAGGCTGTGAGTGTGTGACAGGGGCCCTAGTTTACCCAGCAAGCTTCCATGGCAGAGGGGAATTCGAACCCGGATCTCCCAGATCCTGGTCCAGCGCGCTAACCACTACACAACACTGCTGCTCTGGCCTGCCTTATCGGTCTTTTGTAGGGATTGCAAGCAATGCTCCCTCTAAGCTGTGGAGTCTTGTGAGCAAAAGTTCTGCTTTGTGAGCTACTGGCATTAAAGTTCTGAGCGAGCGATTTGGCTACTGCATACATTCGTTTGCTCTGGAGCCCTCCTTCCTGAGCGAAGACAAAAATGTGTGAGCCAGAGGCTAAAAAATTGTGAGCTAGCTCACACTAACTCAGCTTAGAGGGAACACTGATTGCAAGCAGATAATGCATGCAAAGTACTTGGGACACTGGAAGTGTTCTAAAAATGTCAACAATCATTCTCATCATCTCAGCCAGCAGCCGTCATCAACTCTATTTCGTTTCATTTCAGCCCCACCTTTTCCCCCAATGGGGACCTGAAAAGGCTTCCGTCGCTCTCCTCTCCTTTGCTTTTTATCCTCACAACAACCCTGTGAGGTAGGTTAGACTGAGGGTGTGTGACTGGCCCAGGGTCATCCAGCAAGCTTCCGTGGCAGAGTGGAGGTTCAAACCTGGGTCTCCCAGGTCCTAGTCTAATCACTACATCATGCTGGCATTTTCCAGAAGTGAATTTACTTGTGCGCACTTGTGCTAGGCTGAGAGACAGAGGCTGATTCTACACTGGCTTTTCCCTCCATTTTTTTTTTTTTTTTAGCAAACCCATGTTGGAATAGAATTTCCCCTCTGCAGTGCATGCTGCTTTCACTTTCTTTGATTGTCAGATTTTATGGTACCTTCTGCATAGTTTTATGGCCATTCAAGGGTGACTTTGTAGCGAGTACAGCGTTGGTCCGCCGTATTTGAATGTGGTTTTGAGCGACACTTTCCCCTCCCAGTTGAGAAAATGTGGAGCGAATGCTAGATGCTGCATCGCCGAGGGTCACCCAGGCCACCCAGCGATCTTCTATGGCAGAGTGGAGATTCGAACTCGGTTCTCGTGGGTCCTTGTATGACACTAACCACTATATCTCACTGGCTGTGTACATATACCTAAGGGACAGTAGTTTCTCCTGATCAGTTAACCCAGAACACAGTGACACTTGGTAGGAAGTTGCCAGTGGTGAGCCAATCTCCGTGTGGGGCCCGGCGATCTCCCAGAACTACAACTGAACTCCAGACTACAGAGGTCAGTTCCCTTGGAGAAAATGCCAGCTTTGGAAGGGAGATTCTACAGCATCACCTCTCCCCTCCCCAAATTCCCCCCTTCCCAGGCTGTACCCTCAAATGTCCAGGGATTCCCCAGCCTGGAGTTGGCAACCCTGAGGCCATTTCCAGAGCATCCCTGGTTTTCCCCACCACCACCAGTGTTCCCTCTAAGCCGAGTTAGTGTGAGCTAGCTCACAGTTTTTTAGCCTCCAGCTCACATATTTTTGTCTTAGCTCAGGAAAGATAGCTCTGGAGCAAACTAATTTATGCAGCAGCCCAATTACTCGCTCACAACTTTAATGCCATTAGCTCACAAAGTAGAATTTTTGCTCACAAGACTCCACAGCTTAGAGGGAACATTCCACCACCACTGTTTTTGGAAGAGGGGGATTTTGATTGTGGAAAGAGCAACCTGGGACACACAGTTAACTCCTTCCGCACCGGCACCGTTCGAATCCAGCCCTCCCCGTGGCTGTTTTGAAACCTTACAAATTATGTAAATATAGCTGAGGGATCCGGTTGTGGATCTTCTGCATCATGTGTCACTTTTGACCTTTAATGAGGAAAGAGCGTTATTGGAACTCAGGGCTTCACCCAGTTCGGGTTTGAAACTGAGCCTTGGGGAAGTGTCAAAAGTTGAATTTAGTATCTGGCTTAGCTCGTCCGATGCGCCTCTGCCAGCACTTCAGACAAAGAAACAGTCATATAAGGCTTTCCTTCCCAATGCGCTTCAACGATCCTTTTGTGTTCTGTGACCTTATCTTTGGATGGCGAATCACTTAGACCCCACCTCTGCCTCTTCTTCTGGCCACCCTCCCTTTCTCCTATGAATCTTTTAAAACCACAGTAAAAGTGAGAACGGTGGAAGACTCCTGTGCCGTTTCTAGATTTTCCCGTTTGCGTATAGATTAGTACAAACGGGGCAGCAGGGCTGCTATGATCCCGTTTTGGCGAAAGCGCTTAATTGTGGAATCGGATGCCAAATGCGCCTGCCTTGAGAATTCAGTTTTTGAAAAAATCCTCAAGTTTCTAGCCCCTGTGGATGTCATGTGAAGGTGTGCCTGAAAGTACCAGGGTATTGCCTGGCCTACCAAAGAGCTGTCTGAATTAGACTCTGGTACTCTTTCCCCTAGAGAAACTGTGGTGGCTCAAGTGGTTAAGACGCCGAACTGCAGGCTGTGGAAGGTCAGTAGTTCAGCAGTTCGAGACCCGAATTGCCGCATGACGGAGTGAACTCCCGTCTCTAGCTCCAGCTCCTGCCAACCTAGCAGTTTGAAAGCAAGAAATTGCAAGTCGATAAATAGGTACCACTTCGGTGGGAAGGGAACAGCGTTCCGTGCGCCTCGGTGTTTAGTCATGCGGGCCACATGACCACGGAAATGTCTTCAGACAGCACTGGCTCTTCGGCTTTGAAACGGAGATGAGTACCGCAACCCTAGAGTCGGATTCGACTGGCTTTCGAGCAAGGGAACCTTTACTTTACTATACTCTTCCGCCTTGCTAGGACCTGGTCGGCCCGGGCTAGCCAGATCTTGTCAGACCTTGAAAGCCAAGGAGGGTTGGTCCTGGTTAGTCCTTGGATGGGAGACGGCCAAAGAAGCCCAGGGTTGCTGCACTGCGGTAGGCAACTCTTGCCTTGAAAACCTCACGGGCTTGCCATAAGCCGGCGGTGACTACCACTATTTCTCCCCTTAGTGCAGAATTCGGAGTGACTGAGCGCAGAGTTTTCCATTTTGCAGCATGGCATGTGCGGAGCCTTCCTGATTTCACGCCATGCTTCGGCGACGCCAGGTGTGGCTGTCCTGAATGTGCTCTTTGTTGTGAATCTTTTTTTTAAAAAGGTGTTTAGCAGTATTTAGCATTGTGCCATCCAGTGCCCCTCCTAAGCCTTTCTCACGCACAGTTCCCTAAAACAGCCTCATTTGAGTTTTTGACTCAGGGTTGCCACCCTCCAGGTGGGGCCTGGAGACCCCTCAGGATTACAGCTGCTCTCCGGGCTCCAGAGATCAGTCCCCCTGGAGAAAATGGCTGCTTCGATGGGAGGACTCTCTATGCCCTCTCGTCTCCGCGGAGAGCTCCCTCCCGTGCCGACGCTCTACCCATCCAAAACTCTACTCACCCCCAGTCTCTCCAGATTCCCCAGCCCAGAGCTGGCAACTGAACATCACACGGGGAGAGGCAGTTGGTGGAACACCGCCTTGCCTGAATGGCATTGTGCAATCTTGTGGTTGCGGTGAAACTGGAATCCGGGACTTCCCGATGCAGCCTTACTCATTATACTGGGCATCATCCGTTCTAATCAACTTTTGCATTGAAGCTGTTCCACTTTTAAACTCTCCCGGCTGATGTAGCCACGCCCCAGTTTACAGCACCAACCTATGAGGTTGCACGGATAAGGTCCAATCACAATTGCTCCCTCTCATGGAACTAGATGTTTGTGATTGGTCGGCTCTTCCTGGGCTACCAATTACATTTGAGGGATTAGGATCACATGGTGATTCAATGAGTGAGTTCACATACATACATTGTCAGATTGACTACACCACACAAACATTATGCCTGCTGACCCTTTTCCTGGTGCCCCCAAGTGTTTTTAGAAAGTGGGTGTGGCCTGCTGGGGCTCTTGCCCAGCAGCGCTTCTGATTGGCTGCTAGAGATTTGATTGGCTGTGCGGATTAAAATAAAATCAGTCCGCCGGCGGCCGACACCACAGTGTTGGTTTTCTTCTCTCCTACTCTTCTTTCAGTTGCATTTTTAAAACTACCCCTCTTCTCCTCCACACTTGGGTTTCCTCTCTGTCCGTAGCTCCGCCTCCTGCGGCAGCCATTTTGTAACTGTGCCCACCACCCTGTGTCAGAATTCCGGAGGTGCCCAGAAGCTCAAAACAGTTGGGGATCCCTGCACTATAGTGATCGTTCGCAGCTGGCCTGTTCTGTCCACACAGGAATATCCAGTTGTGAATCTTACCGCCAGAGCACAACCAGGGCTATTTTGGGGCAGGAACGCACAGGAACGGAGTTCCAGCTGGCTCCCAAGTTGGCCACGCCCAGAAGGAACTCATTAGCATAACAGGCTACACCCAATAGCAGAAACTCATTAGGATTGGCTACATTAGGGGTGTGTGGCCTAATATGCAAAGGAGTTCCTGCTACAAAAAAAGGCCCTGGGTTTTGACAACAAACAAGGTAAACAGAATAAGAAGCAAAAGGTGGGTGTGGCTGGATGACCACACTTCTGGTAACATGGGGGTGTGGCCTAATGGGCTAATGAGCTGTGCTGTCAGGGGTGTGGCCTAATATGCTAATGAGTTCCTGCTGTTGGGTGTGGCCTATTATGCTAATGAGTTCCTGCTGGGCTTTTTCTACAAAAAGAGCCCTGAGTTACAATAGCACATGACACATCATGCCGGAGGCCGGAAGAATGGGGAGCCGTTCTCTTGCTTACCTCTCTTCCCTGTCCTTCCCCCCCCCTGCAGTGGTTTGCATACTCCTTCACGGTGAAGTGCCTCATCACCCTCTCCACAGCTGGCCTACTGATCCTCGTCCTCGCCTTTCACATCAAAGAGATCCAGGTAGGTGACTCTGATATTTCCCTGATAACCAAGGGCAAAAATGGTGGGGCTCCTCGTTGAGAGTTGCTGGTCTGTCGGTTTGTCTACCTCGTTTACACCCTGCCTTCCTGCCCAACGGGGACGCAAAGGGGCTTCCGTTCTTCTCCTCTCCTCAGTTTTATCCCCACGACAACCCTGTGAGGTAGGTCAGGCCTAAAGTGTGACTGGTCCAACATGTAAGGCTGCCAGCATCCAGGTGGCGGGTGGAGAGACCTCCCACAACTACAACTGGTCTTAGGGTTGTCAGCAGTGTTCCCTCTAAGCCGAGTGAGTGTGAGCTAGCTCACGGTTTTTTAGCCTCCGGCTCACACATTTTTGGCTTCGCTCAGGAAGGAGGGCTCCAGAGCAGACTGATTTATGCAGTAGCCAAATTGCTTGCGCACAACTTTAATGCCAGACGCTCACAAAGTAAAACTTTTGCTCACAAGACTCCACAGCTTAGAGGGAGCATTGGTTGTCAGGTCTCACCTGCTCCAACCCAGCTCCCGTGGTCTTCTGGCACATATGCAAAGCATGCGCGCCGCAGTGACATCACCCAGAAGTGACACCAGGCTGTCATTCAGGGGATGCTCTAGGATTTGGGTTAAAAAAAATAACCACCTCTATGGTCACCATAGAGGTTTTTATCCAAAAGCTAGAGTGTCCCTTGCACAATGTGCCCGGCATGATGACATCACCTCCAGGTGACATCATCGTACTCGGCACGTCGGGCACAACGGGGCTCATCGGGGGTGACCCCCCCTGCTGGCCAGCTGGCTGGCAGCTAATTGGAGGCCCTGAAAGTGGGAACACCCCCCTCGCCCCTATCGGGGAGGATGGCAACCCTAACTGGTCTCCAGCTGACCAAGATCACTTCCCCTGGAAAGAGCAGCTGATTCGGAAGTTGGGTATCTATGGCATTATACCCCTCCCCTCCCCAAACCCCACCCTCTCCAGGCTCCACGTCCCCCCAAATCTCCAGGAATTTCCCAGCCCAGAGCTGGCAACCCTAACAACATGGCAGGACGGGGATTTGAATCCGGGTCTCCTATAGTCTGACCCTCTCATGACTCCCACACTTTGGCTCTCTGTGGGGTTTGGTGGCCGCCGGTCTCTGTTGAAGAACAGGCCGGGGGGGGGCAGGTTGATGATTGCTGTTCTTCCCGGTAGGGGTGACGAATGGCGTTTCCTTGCAACGATCCAGCTTGCATCGATCCAGATTATGTGGGTTGGACTGTAGGGGCATTGGTGGGATTTGAACATGACACGCCTCCATGGATGTCGGCGGGTGGCATGCACTGGAGGGAAGAGAGGGCCTGTTCTCTCTTCCCACAACGCACCAGGAAGTGATCCAGCGCTTGTAGAAGAGTCTGTTCTATCTCCTGCCGCCATCTTGGGGAATTACTGAGGATTTGGGGGATAGTGCCCGGGGAGGGGGAGGGAGCTCAGCCGGGATGTGATGTCACAGAGTCCTCCTTCTGAAGCTGCCCTTTGATCCAGGGCAACTGGTCTCTGTAGTTTGGGGAACACCTGGAACACCAGTCCCTACCTGGAGGATGGCAGCCATAGCTAAGGGACAGAGAAGGGGGAGGTGGTTCTTAAGGTAGCACATAATTCACCAGATTTAAGATCGCACTGGGAACCTGACCAGTTCCGTCCCCGTCTAAAGAAGAAGACGGGGACTGATTTCCTACAAGCAGCTGCACCGTCCTCGCTCTTCCCTTTCCCCCAATTGTATTCATCAATTTCCCACTACTTGCTGCATAGCCGCATTTTGACCCACAGCTTCCCCTGATTTCCCCCTGCGTCTTATTGATCCTCGTTTTTTTGAGATCGAGAAGATGTGGGGGAAATCGGGGGATGCCGCAGGTCAAAATGCGGCTGCACAGCAAGTAGTGGGAAACTGAGGAATGCAATCGGGGGAAAGGGAAGAGCGAGGGCGTTGCAGCAGCTTGTGGGAAATGGGTCTTTTCTTCCAGCTGCACCCCAAAAAACTGAGCCCTGAGCAGTATACACCTACTTGGCCTACCCTAGAGCCCGCAATGGGGATCCTCATATAGTTGCCAACAGGGGTCATTTCGTAGAAAAAGAGGTGCAGGAGCTCATTAGCATAACTTATTTGCATATGCCACACCCCCTGACATCACCGGAAGTGTGTCAGAAGGCAACACCCACCGCTCATGCTCCACCGGACTGTTTTGGATTGCTAGCTATTGGGGGGGACATGCAGATCTGTCCTCGCAGAGGAGGGAGAGCTTGTACCTGAATAAAACTTTGTCTTAAAGGGGCCACTGGACTGTTTTGGACCAGGGGGCCGGGGGGGGGGGCTCTGCAGCTTACCTGGCTGCTTCTTGCTCTGACTGAGGGCTGCTGGGAGCAGGGGGCGGGGCTTGTTGCATGTGCCCACCCCCTGGGCTCTGTACTGCCGGAGCTCCGCTCCTGTGCGCTCCTGCAGGAAATGACCCCTGGTTGCCAACATCCAGGTGAGATAACCAAAGAGAGATCACGGGATAAGTGAGTAGAAAACAGTCAATGGCAACAGTGGTATAGTTACGAAGGGAATATCGTTCTTTTATAGATTTTCAAAAAATAGATCAATACTAATGCGAATACGCATACAAGAATGAACATTTTTTTTTAAAAAAGGTTCCACAATGTGAGGGATGCCAGCCTCCAGGCGGGACCTGGGGACTCCCCGGAATTACAGCTCACCTCCAGGCTACAGAGATCAGTTCCCCTGGAGAAAAAATAGATGCTTTGGAAGGTGGACTCTATAACATCGCACCCACTGAGGTCCTGTCTTCCCCACATCTCCCGGAGTTTCCTACCTGGATCTGGCAATGTTGGGGCCCAGAGATCTCTGGGAATCACAACTGATGACTCCAGACCAATGTTCCCCCTAAGCTGAGTTAGTTTGAGCCAGCTCACAGTTTTTTAGCCTCCGGCTCACACATTTTGCCTTAGCTCAGGAAGGAGGGCACGAGAGCAGACTAATCTGTGCAGGAGCCCAATCGCCGGCTCACAACTTTAACGCCAGTTGCTCACAGAGCAGAATTTTTGCTCACGAGACTCCACAGCTTAGAGGGAGCATTGGTCCAGACGATAGAAATGAGTTCCCTTGGAGAAAACAGCTGCTTTGGAAGGTGGGCTCGGTGGAGTCATCCCAAACACTGTTCAACGCAGGCTCCACCTTAGGGATGCCAGCCTCCAGGTCGGGCCTGGGGATCTTCTGGAATTACAGCTCCAGACTACAGAGTTCAGTTCCCCTAGACAAAACGGATGCTCTGGGGGGTGGACTCTATGGCAGTCTACACCCCCCCGGATGGCCCCATCCTCCCCAGGCTCCATCCCCAAATCTCCAGGAGTTTCCCAACCTGGACTTGGCAACCCTACGTCACCTCCAAATCTCTACAAATTTCCCAGCCTGGAGTTGGCAACCCTGCTGAATTTGAGGCATATACAGTAAGGCTTTCCCTTTCCATGAAGAAATGCCCCCGAATAATGTATCGCTGCTAAGTTTGGGAGGAAAACAGAGGCAAATGGAAAGAGCGGGTGGGATGTTGGGACTTGTCGGCTCAAGGCCTGGGACGGGAGCCGAGAAGTCGGCCGTCCAGGCTGAACCTTCTGCCTCCTCCAGTTTGAAGCACAAAGGAGCGGGTGACACTCGGAAAATACGCATCAGGCGGGTTTTCCTTTCCTCTGGGCCGTTTGATCAGAGCGGCTGATTTGAGGGAGAGGCGTTTCCCTCCCGGCTGAGTCACAACCGTCTTGCAACCTGTTACACAGTCAAGCTGCGGTCGGGGGAGATATTGCGGCCGGCTCAGGGATGTGAATCGTCAGTCAGTTGTTCAGGCCTGCTTAGAACCTTGTGTTGTGTTTTTGGCAAAAGTGCTTTCTGGTGCTTCGGATTCAGTTCCAGGTTCTGTTCAACACGGCAAACTTTGCCAAGGACTGATTTTTTTAAAAAAACAATGTATCAGGGATGGGGTTGCCAGCCTCCAGGCGGGGCCTGGGGGTCCCCTGGAATTACAGCTCATCTCCAGACTACGGAGATCAGTGCCCCTGGAGGAAATGGATGCTCTGGAGGGTGGATTCTGTGGCACTGTGCCCCACTGAGGAGCCTGTCTCCCCCAGGTTCCATCCCCAAATCTCCAGGAGTTTCCCAACCTGGAGCTCACAACCATACCCCCCCACAACCACCCTGCTGTTGGCCAGGGGGGACCTGGCAACCCTACATTCAGAGGTAGGGGAAGAAGAAGAAGAAGAAGAAGAAGAAGAAGAAGAAGAAGAAGAAGAAGAAGAAGAAGA